GAGGATCGAGATGTGACCAAAGTGAGTGTGCAGTCATCGTTCTGCCGTATAAGCTCCACTGGTACGTTCCATGCGCAACATGCCTTTTTGCAAGTAGCTAAGCTGCTTGTTGAATTCGTGGCCAATAAAAGAAACCTTTATGAAGGTAATGTTTAAATACTTACGAAGTGTTCCCTCGTCGTTTGATGAAACCATTGTAGTACGAGTATTCCGGCCAATTAAGAAATTCATCCAGAGATGCAATACTTGGATCTTCTCCCATTTCCTCTTGAATGGCCTCTTTGTAGTTGAGGTACTCGCTGAATGACCCTTTGTGAACACTGGAGAAATAAGACTATTCACAATACCACAGCAACTAAGGCCATCACGTTTAGAAATATATTTGTCGTAATCGGACGAGCGGAGAAATGTGTGGGTACTGTTGTGCTTCATCATGGATGTGCCCTTTACCTCCACCGTGTTGGAAGGAGGGCAATCAGAAAGTGGTCTCCGCCTATTCGCCGAGCGCTCGATCATCTTGGGAAGTTTCAAGGTTAATTGAGCTACTGGTCTATGGTCGATTGTAAAAGAAATCGAATCCGTTCGAAATGCTGTGAAGCTACAGCCTTTCATGGTGTGACAACCCACTGTCGAAAATGAAGGCCTTCATAGATTTTGACCTCTATCGTTACGTCCCGTAGATGTTACCAGGGTCAGCTACCCCTCAATCCCATCGCTCTACCAGTTATTCAATGACTTCCCTTCGTTTCACGCCACTACAAAGAAAATCCGTCAACAATCTTACCTCAGTACAAACTTGGTGCTCTCTGGTCCAATAGCGTGCGGCAAACTTTCAAAGGCGTTCTTCATCTCGAAAAGTCCCTGTACATTCTCTGGATCGGAGAAGTTCCCAGGATTACTGACTACGACTGTCGCAAAAGTGTATGACGGCGTCATGTACTCATTACGGAGTCGATCGATCTGAAAAGGAAAGTTCAACTTCTCAGAATCTCATTGAAGCAATCATCCAGGCGCCAAAATAATGTATTCAAGGGAGCATGGCGTCATCCCGGTACCTACAAAACCTTGAAAAAATTAGTCTAGGTGCCACATCTCTCAGTCTCGGTATATCCACTTGAAACGTATAGTTACCTCAAGTCATCCAGTTTAATGTTCCTTCGGCTAACATTTCGGCTCTTCGCCTTCATCAGAGCCCGCGTAGTCAAAATCACATGGGATTTCATCAAACAAAAGCCTTACCAGTACTGAGACATTCCCGACATGCCAGGAAAACAAGCAGACAGGGGTATTCGACTGGTCCAACCAGCGTCACCTCAGTAAGGTGCATACCCATGTTCTATCTACAGTAAATGATGTCTACCACCATTACCACCCACCTCATGTAAACGACAAGCTGTAAGGTCGCATGATGACTTGATACCAAGATTAACGCTAATACTGCAGCCTTCGAAAGCAGATCTTTCATGCGACAACTATACAGTTTTGGCCCAATGGGCGTGCACTACTGCCGATTATTGGCTGCTTTTCCAAAGCTTCAGTTACCTTTAGCAACTTCGAGTCCCGTTTGAACACTTTGTGTGCCGAGAGATCCACAGTCGAATAAGTCAATCCCTAAACGGTACTGTAAAAAGCAGCGTTTGAAAAATCAAGTTTGCAGAGATCTCTGACCACACAACTCATGCCGGACTCTCCTCGACTTCCTGACTCACCGGAAGGAAGAGCAAATGAGAAACTTATCCTAGTCCCACTCGACTGCAAGAGGGAGGAAAGCCCGGCAGGAGCTGGATACTAAGCCTGGTTCCAGTGATTGCCTAAAATGCCCTCACCACAATGGCTCCAGCAACAAATAATGCCCAGAATAATACTATTATTATCGAAAAGCTGAAATCAGCCACAAGTTCTGTGTAGCGTCGTAGCAACCTTTGAGCACGTTCTTTGACCTTTGGATGCTCCTGAAGCTATGTGAATTTCATTTTCACACTCAACTCTCTGAAAGGGAATGAAACCAACGAGTAGCGACCTCTTTGTCCCCTGAATTCTTCGGAAAGTCGGCGAAAAGCGTCATCATTGCAGTGTAAAGTGTGACTAAAAGCAGGCTTATGAAAAGTCTGCAAACAACGCTTCCTGCACTAAACTTAAAGACACACGCTGCGATTATCTTGTGGGCGGAGTTAGGCCTATAATTGTTTTCTGTTGTACACACCTCCTTTTGCCGTACTGGATGGCAGTAGCGTATCAGTGAGTGAGGCGTAACGCCAGGCTTGACTCCGCCCATAGGATCAGCGTGGACTGGTCTCTAATATTCATGGACAATGTCCCTTAGCATGCAATAAAAATGGAACTCACACTGGTAAAGCATATCCACTAATATAGCACAAGCGTTGCCTATACAGAAAATGCGAATATCAGGCGGTGAAGAGACTGCACCAATTGCAAATGCAAACGCATTTGTACAGGAGGAAATCACGATCGCTGGACCCGTTTCGACAAGAACCTGAAACTGCCAAACTACTCACCCATGATAGTCTCTCTTCGGTCATCAAAGGATGGAGGAGGGAGCATGTGATGTCGGTCGAGGCCTCTTCTGGGAAGCGCCATGCATTCCACTTCCAATCAGAAACCTAGTGGTGAATGGGACGGTCTTGCCACATTGACCCGTGCGGGCCAGTCAATGTACAAGTCTATGTATGTATTCTCCCAGGCAAATGAGGAGGTCACGAAGAGACGGAGAGCTTGTTTTGTATGAAGAGGATGCGATATGCAAGAAAAAGCGATAGTGCGCCTGAAAAGCAGTCCCGCAAATCATGTATTTTATCCCCAACAACCCTGTTTTCTCTGATTGTTCTTCTGCTATCTCCCAGCCGATTAGGTACGGCCTGCCCGTCAGAGACCCCTTGATTAATGGTCCACTATAACAAGAGTTACTAG